GAAGGAGCCCACCAGCCTGCGGCCCACTTCTTTGCTCTCATTCACATCCAGGCCCTTCCCCGCCTTCCCATCTGGTCAGTGACCCCTCCTCAGCCACCGCCCTGGATGACTTATGGCTCCTGGTCACACGGAAGCTTTCGTCACAGCTCAAAGGTCACTGTGACGACAGGGCTGGACCTCCGCCTGGTTCCAGTGGGAAGGACGGGCTGGGTACCCACACAGGCACACCATGGCACTCCGAGAAGGCCGAGCTCAGCCTGCCATGCCCTGCGGCCAGCGGAGGGTGACCCGGCAGTGTGTCATGGGACTGACCGCCTTTCCTAAGAAACATGGATTGCTGGAGCTCAAGGCTGGGCGGATGACAGGCAGCCCCTCCCCTCCAGACCCATGAGGAGGAGCCTCACCCTGTCTCTCCACCTGGGACCAGGAAGCCGAGCTGCCACCACCTGACCTGGGCCACAAGTCTCAGTCCTGGATCCCATCTTCCCAGGCTGGAGCCTCCCCACCCACGTGGCAGGCGTGTCCCCTCCCAGCTGCAGCCCCCTGTAAGGGCTCCCTGGGAGAGCAGGACCCTGGACAGGGCAGAGGGCCCCACTCCACACAGTGGGCCCAGTGGGACACTCAGAACCGCCTGGCGTTTGGCGGGCTTGGCCCTAGAGAGGGTGTCTGCAGGTTAGAAGCATGCCTTTGGCTGCGTCAGGGAGGACAGAGTTGGGGGGAGGCCCATGACCCAGGAGGGCTATTCCAGCCAGGGGGGAGGCAGCCAGCTGGGGAGGGCTTGGGGGTGGATGGAGCCTGGTGCGCTGGACAAGAGCGAGGCCCCCTCTTAGACCCACAGGACCTGGCAGAGGACACAGAAGCTGCACACCTGTGAGAAGCAGGTCCCAGAAGCCCCAAGCTGGATACCTGACATCACACAGTGGAGGGCGGGGCCCTCCTGTGCTGGACCACACCCCCCCACTGCCTGGTGCAGTCACCTGGTGGGAGGCCCACCCACTGGATACACAGGCCCAGCTGTCCTGGGGGAACTGCTGCAGGGAGCTAGGGCTTGGCCGAACCAGGCTCCCTAGTGTTCCTGCCACTAAATGACGCTTCCATCCCTGCCCTCCCAGAGCCAGTAGGTGGAAAACCTGGGGCGTTTGCTTGTCAGGCAGCCCTGCCCCTGCAGGGGGAGGGCAGAGGCTGGCTGCGGAGGGGAGGAGGGATCACTGGCTCCCCTGCAATCCGGCTGCTGTGACCTGCTTTGGCCAATGGAATGTGTGAAAATTTCATTGTATGCATTCTGGACCCCAGCTTCCACCTCACCCTCCTGGAAGGCTGGCCTTGCCTCAGGAGAAAGCTGACGAGGCGGGCAGGATTCCAGGCCCCACGGCTCTGGCAGAGACTCCAGCAGCCAGGGACAGCAGCCCTGCATGTCCAGCATGGCGCCACTTGGGCTCTCCCCACTCAGCTGACCTTGGCCCAGGGTGAGGCCTGTGTGAGGCCCTGGGAAGCCACTGGCACCACCCCGATCCCCACTGCGAGAAAGAATGGGCAGGTGGTGCTTAAGCCACCCAGGCTGAGATTCCACACGGGCTGTGGTCTGCCCACAAGAATGGGAGGAAGGAGAGGAGGGAGGGAGGGTGAGGGGCAGACACAATGGCGGCCAGACAGGCTGCTCCTGATAACGAGAGAAGCTCAGACGGAGGCCGGCGAAAACACTGCAGACCTCGGGGGCTGAAGGGCAGCAGAGCTGGAGCAGGAGCCGCGCAGAGCTGGGAGAAGCCAGCCTGTGGAGGGGTGCGGTTAGGAGAAAGGACCCAGACCAGCGGGGAGAGCCGGGAGGGTACAGGACCCCTGAGGGAGAGGAAGTCCAAGTTGGTGAATCACCCATCTGGATTTTGAAAGCATGGCTAGAAGGATGGGGAGCAGCGTCCCCTCCTTCAGGGAAGGGAGCCAATGACCTAACGCGATGAGGTCTGCTCACAAAGCTGGGGTGGTTTGGTGGAAAAGGAAACAGTCTGGAAGTGCCAGTGAGGAAGGACAAGGGCACCGAGCTCGTCCCCGTGCAGTGGAGGGAAAAGCAGTGCCTGCTGGGAGCGGGCCGGGAGGGCACTCCAGACAGGCAGGCAGGGAGGAGACCCAGCACCAACACGTGGGGACACAGCTGCCCTGCTGCTAGGCAGGCATGCATCGGGGAGGGAGCCCGGCAGCTGGGCGCCCCTGCCTCTGCCTGGGTCCTGCTCTTTCCCCTGCAGCCCTGGCCTTCCATCACCGATCCCAGTGAACATCCAGGACCAGCTCTGCGCCCAACTTGGCTCTCGGGGAGAGAAACCCAGGCTGGCCCAGCAGTGGTTTCTCGGTGGCTTTGGTCCTAGCTGCCTGAGTGCCCTTGGCAGGAGTTGGGGAGCATGCTGAGGACCCGGTGCAGGGCGTGGCTACGGGTCTCCGTTGTCAGGAGCCAGTGTCCGAGGGGGATGCTGAGGGCATGGTAAGAAGGCAGCGGCCACCTCCGGGTCAGAGGTTGGGAGGGGAGGTCACAGCTAGCCGCTGGCAGGCTGTATGGGCACACTGGCTGGGCGTCATGGCATGTGGCCACAGTGGCCCAATATGAGGAGACCCCCCATGAGGCTGAGGACCCTCCCCTCAGGGAGGGACGGAGGAACCAGGGACTCGGCCGGTGCCCACCTGCAGTCCTCCAAGCCAGAGAAATGGTGCCATGTGTGCACTCATGAGACAGAAACAGAGAGACAGACGCAGACGGGAGCTGCCCTGTGGCAAAGATGGTGGGAAGAGCACAGGCCTGGGGACCCTGGAGTGGGCTCCCTGTGGGGGCAGCAGGGAGCAGGGTCCCTTCCTCTCCACCACAGCAGGCCACGCTTCCCACCTCATCTGCCCTGGGCTCCTCCGCCAGGACCCCGCCTGCTGCCCGGGACAGGAACCGTGGCAGATGGACGTGGTGTTCACTGAGTCAGACGCTGTCAGGTCAGCGGCTTTAAAAGTAGAATCTCCTTTGTCTTCCCAACAACCCTGGGTTAAATAAAAAGTTAGCCCCTTGTACAAACGAGGAAGCAGTTACAGGGAGGAAAGGAGACCGTCTAACCACCAGTGAGGGAAAGGTCAGCCCCAGCCCCCGGGCAGGGAGGAGGCTCAGGCCTGTGGTCCCGGCAGGCTGAGAGGCCCAGGCAGGAGGATCGCCTCCGGCTGGGAGTTTGAGACTGGCCTGGGCAACACAGGAGCCACCCCATGTCTACAAAAGAACATGGAAGGCCCCTCCTTCCATCCTGAACTCCCTGCCTGTCTGGAGACTGGGGGAGGCCCAGAGTCGGCCCAAATCCCTTCCCAAATCCGGGCCCAGGGGCTGGGGAGACTCAGGCGGGCAGCGCCCCTGGGATGACCCCCAGCAGGATGCTGCGGCCCCTGGGGGCGTTCGCGAGGTTTCCCGCCTTGGCGCAGCGCTCAGGCCCGGAGGGGACGCGGGGCACCATCCGGGCCACCTCCTGGGTTGCGGGTCGGTCTGAGCAGAGGGGTCGGCGCGGGCGAGCGGGGTTCCAGTGGACGCCCGCCCGGCCCCCGCGGCTCTCCCGGTCGGCGAGGGGCGTGGGCAGCCTGTCCGCCGGGAGGGCCCCCCGCTCCGGCCTCGCAGCCCCCCTCGGCGCGCGCCCGGGTGCAGGCGGCCGGGTGTGGGGGGCGCCGCAGGGGATAGGAGGGAGGGGAGGCTTCCGGACGCAAACCCCCGGGGGTCCCGGTGCTCGGGCAGGGGCGCACCTGCCACTCAGCCGACTCGCCGGCCAGAAAAGCCCCCAGAGGTTCCCCGACCCCTCCCCGGCCAGAAGCTCGCGGTTCCCGCCGGCCCGGCCGCCCCTTCCACTTCCCTCGCCCCTGCGCCCCCTCCGCGCCCCGGGAACGCCACGCCCTCCCTCGGGGCTTTCCTGCTGAAGACCCCCCGCCCGCAGAAGCCTTTGGGACCACCCGGTGGAGAGGCTTTTCTCCACCAGCTCCGTTCTCAAACCGCGAGGCTTCGGGATCCGCCTCGGCCTCCTTCCCGGGGGCCGCCCCGGCGCGAGCCCGGCTCTCCAGGGGGCTCAGGAGGCCTCCGGCCGCGGGGGACCCCGAGCGCAGAAGCCGCCAGCGCGCCCCGCCGCGGCATTCACCGTCAGAACAGTGACCGCCGGCGCCCGCGTCCGGCCCTTCGCAGTAACCGGCGCGAACGGCGCCCCTCGTTTCTCCGTGAGCCCGACTTCCTGCAGCTGAGCGCGCGGACGGGTGGCCTGGAAGCTCGTGGCGACACCGGCCCCATGACGTCATCCGACTGCCTCGCGCCACCGCCGCGGCCGCCCGTGACGTCACCAGCCTGCTCGCGTCCCGCCCGGCCCTGCGGGGTCCCCCGTGCACCCCTTCCCCTTGCGGTGACGCCGCCCTCTCCCCGCCCGTGCGTCCCAGGGGGACGCTTCCTGCAGCCCTCGGTGCCCAGGACGCGCGCTGCGGGAGGCGCCCCCGGAGGCCGGGCCGGTGTCGTGTCAAACTCGGAGACCCATTGGGGCCAAAACCGGCACCGGAGGGGGCGTGCGAGGGTCGGACGAAGGAAGAGGCGCCACTCCAGGCTCGCCCACCCCTCGGGGCCGCCCGACCCCGCGCCCGGGGCGAAAAGTCCTTCCCGGCTCCCCGCTCGGCCCCCGGGGCGGGAAAGTGAGCCCCAGACTCCGCGCAGCCAGGGGTCCCTGGTCCCCGTTGTCCCCCGTCGCGGTGCTCGGCCCCGGCTGCAGGGGAGGGGCGCGGATCGCCCGGCCTGGCCCCAGGGTCGGAGGAGGGCGCGAGGGGAGACCCCCCCAGGCCTTTGTCGCCCGCGGCCCGGAGCTGAGGCGTGACTGACAGCGGCGGGGGAGGCAGCGGGCGCCGATTGGCCGGCGCGAGTGTGGGAAAGAACGCAGGGCCGGGTTCACACGCCCCGCGGCGGCGAGGCCTTAAATAGCGGCGCGAGCCGGGGCTGCGCGCGGGCCCGGAGCCGGGACCCGCCCGAGGGTTTCGGATCGCCGTCCGCCCGCTCCACCCGGCGCAGGGCGCACCATGCCCGCAGACACTCCGGGGAAGCCGAGCGCCTCTCCGCTGGCCGGAGCGCCGGCCAGCGCCAGCCGGGCCCCGGACAAGCCGCGGAGCGCGGCCGAGCACCGCAAGGTGGGGTCCGGGCCGGGCGCGAGGGGGGGGGCGGCGGGGGCGGGGAGGGACGGAGGGACGCGGGATTCAGCCGGTGCCATCCGCAGTCCTCCAAGCCGGTCATGGAGAAGCGGCGCCGAGCGCGCATTAACGAGAGCCTCGCTCAGCTGAAAACCCTCATCCTGGACGCCCTCAGGAAAGAGGTAAGCCGGGGGCGACGGCCCAAGACCCGGAGTCTGGGGCGCAGCGGAGCCTGGACCTCCCGCCCCATTCCTGCCCCCAGAGCTCCCGCCACTCGAAGCTGGAGAAGGCGGACATCCTGGAGATGACTGTGAAACACCTGCGGAGCCTGCGGCGCGTGCAGGTCACAGGTGCGGCGCGGGTGGCGGCGGCTCCGAGGCGGGCGGTGGGGGTGCGCGGGACTCCCAGGCCCGGCCCCGACCGCTCCTCGCGTATCGCCCCCGTAGCCGCGCTCAGCGCCGACCCCGCCGTCCTGGGCAAGTACCGCGCCGGCTTCCACGAGTGTTTGGCGGAGGTGAGCCGCTTCCTGGCCGGCTGCGAGGGCGTCCCGGCCGACGTGCGCTCCCGCCTGCTCGGCCACCTGGCCGCCTGCCTGCGCCAGCTGGGGCCCTCCCGCCGCCCGGCCGCGCCGCCCCCGGCTGCCCCCGCCGCAGAGGCCCCGGCGCCCGAGGTCTGCGCGGGCCGCCCGCCGCTGCCGTCGCTCGGAGGTCCCTTCCCCCTGCTCGCGCCGCCGCTGCTGCAGGGTCTGACCCGGGCGCTGCCCTCCGCCCCCAGGGCAGGGCCGCAGGGCCTGAGCGGACCGTGGCGGCCGTGGCTGCGTTGACGCTGCAGCCCTGGGACCCCCCGGAGACCGCGCCCCGTTTTAGGGCCGGGGCCTCTTCTGAGACTGTACCGGAGAAAACGTATTTATTGCTCCAGAGATCGCGTCACGATTTTCCTTTTTTCGTCTTTGTGAAGAGTCGGCTTTGGTGGCGCCGGGGGTCCGGCCCTGCCCGGGAGGCCGAGGTCCGCAGGTGGCTGGGGGCGTCGGGCGGGCCCGGGGCGGGACCGAGGGCTGGCGGCGACCCCTGCGGCCCCTCCGCGCGGACGCCTTCTGCCTCCGCTCTGCGGTGCGGTCCCGGGGGGTCCCCCGGAGGCCCAGGCGGGAAGGCGAGCGTCCCTGAGTGTCCGGAATGTGTCCCGACGCTGGAAGGCGGTCGCGCAGCATCGCCGGGCGTTATGTTTTCAGCGGTTCCTTTCCCGATTCCCAGTCCCCGGACCGGGAAGGCGGAGGCTGGGGTCCTGCGGTGACCTGAGCCCGAACCTTTGCCCTGAAGCCTCCCGCCGGGTTCTCCCGCTCGTGCGGAGCGGCCTGTGCCCGCCGCAGACCCCTCCCCCGGGCTCGGTGCCGGGGAGGGTTCGGGGCCGAGCTGGGGTGCGGACACCAGGTGCCCGGCCCGAGGACGTGGCTCCCGAGGGCGTCGGGGCTGCCCGCAGCCTCCCCTTCCCGGGGAAGGAGGCTCCACTCTCCAGGGGGTAAGGACTGGGGGCTCCTCCTCACTGGCCCCGAGCACGTGCCGTTGGCGACCACCGAGTTACCAGGCAGCGCTGGGCGTCCCCCTGAACCACCACCGCCATCCCGGGTCCTGTGCTCCCCGGGGGCCGAGGCAGAGGATCTCTCTCAAGCCGTTTCCCACCAGCGGCTGAGTTCCCCGGAGCCCACGATAGGCGAGGGAGCGTCCCACCAGCACGGGGCCTCGAAGGCTCCAGTCGTGCTTCCAGCAGGAGCCCCCTGTACCCTCCAGGACACAGCCCCGGGGCACACCTCGCAGGAGCCTCCCTGGCCACCCTGCTCCCCCCTCTGAGCTCCCAAGGACCGGCCAGTGACCCTGAGCCGGCGTAGCATTGGGCTGGGAGCTGCACCCTTGGTCCCACCAGCAGTCCTGCCCCGGGAGTCCCGGTCCCAGGGGAGCCTCAAAGTAGCCCTTCTCCTTGGGAGTCTGGGTGGCAGCTCTGTGAGGGAGGCCGCCTCAGCGGGCTGGGGGAGGGGAGCTGCTCAGAGCGGGCGTCAGTGCAGAAGGGGAGGGAGGACCTGGGAGGTGGAGCTTGGAGTGGGAAGGGAGGCCGGGGCAGGAGGGGCACCCTGCAAAGTCACCCAGGCTGTGGGTCCTAAGAGGCAGGACAGCTGTTCACGAGACCCCAGCCTTGAATGCCCTCCACCTCCACTGTGGCTAAACAGTCTGTAGCTCTCCAGGGGCCACGCAGGCTCTGAGGGAATCACAGCCTTGGGCAAGCCCGCGGCAGTCTGGGTCCCTCTGTACTCAGCACCCGTCCCCCAGCTTTCCCTGACTTTCCTCCTAACTGTGATTTATCCCAACTGCGGTAGGCTCAGGGTCTCTCATATCATCTGGGCCTGGCTGGATGGGGCTCCAGAGGGCGAGAGCCAGTCTGTCCTGACGCTCTGTCCCCGGCACCTGCCCAAAACGAGGAAATGAACCCACAGGGACTTAATCCGACCATTTGAATGACAGAGCTGGGAGGATTGGGCTACACCAGGGAGGTCTCGGGAAGCACAGCCAGGCTGGCTGGGCAGCATGGGCCCCCCTAGGCTTCCCATTTCTCAGAGTCCCACCCCCTCACCCCCCCCCCCCCCCCCCCCCCCCCCCCCCCCCCCCCCCCGCCGGCCTCCGGGAGCCAGCTTCTGCCCACACCCAGCAGGGACGCCTGCCCGAACCTGCTTCCTGGGGCCCCAGCTGTGGGCTGCCCCCTCTCACTTGGGGTCCTGCCTGCCTTCCCCACCTTCCAGACATTTCCTGCCCCTCCCCGCCTCAGGTGGAGGCCGCTGTGCAGCTGGGCTGTGGGGCAGTCCCCAGTCCCAGCGATTTTTACCTTGGCTTTGTCTTCCTGATGAGTAATAGATGACCATCACCTTCTCAATGGGGGAGTGTGGCTGACGGTCACCGGTCACTTGCAGGTCATCTCCTGATGCCTCCCTGGTGAGGACCAAGGGTCAATAAATGTTTGCTGAGCTCCTTCGCTCTGTGGTGTCTGGGCTTGTCATGGGGAACTGGGCAACACAACAGCGGACCATGGGCTTTCAAAACCTGGAGAACAATCAGTCCCATGGTGAGAGATGGCCAGGCCGGGCCTATTAACTCCAAGTGCGGAAATTAGGGATGGAGGTGGGGCCGGGGCTGCCTGGAGCCTTGGCTTGTGAGAGGTGAGGCCGAAGCTCCCCCCACCCAGGCCCCTGTGCTCACCTGAGTCCCAACAACCCCGCCAGGCCCCTCTGCTCCCCTGGGTCCCAGCACCCTCCCCAGGCCCCTCTGCTCCCCTGGGTCCCAGCACCCCCCCCAGGCCCCTCTGCTCCCCTGGGTCCCAGCACCCCCCCCAGGCCCCTCTGCTCCCCTGGGTCCCAGCACCCCCCCAGGCCCCTCTGCTCCCCTGGGTCCCAGCACCCCCCCCAGGCCCCTCTGCTCCCCTGGGTCCCAGCACCCCCCCCCAGGCCCCTCTGCTCCCCTGGGTCCCAGCACCCCCCCCCCAGGCCCCTCTGTTCCCCTGGGTCCCAGCACCACCCCCAGGCCCCTCTGCTCACCTGGGTCACAGCCACCCACAGGTGCTCACCTGGGTCTCAGGCCCCTCTGCTCACCTGGATCCCAGCCCCCCCAACTAGGCCCCTGTGTTCACCTGGGTGCCAGCCCCACCCAGGCCCCTGTGCTCACCTGGGCCCCAGCACCCTCCAGGTGCTCACCTGGGTCCCAGCACACCCCCAGGCCCCTGTGCTCACCTGGGTCCCAATACCCCCCTAGGCCCCTGTGCTCACCTGGGTCCCAGCCCCTCCCAGGTGCTTACCCGGGTCTCAGCCCCCCCCCACCCCTGTGCTCACCTGGGTCCCTGCCCCTGCCAGGTGCTCACCTGGGTCCCAGCCCCCCCCGGGTGCTCACCTGTGTCTCAGCCCCCCTCAGGCTCCTGTGCTCACCTGGGTCCCAGCCACCTCTCCTCTGGCTTCCCTGGCTCCAGGACTGTCTCGTCACCCAGGCCTGGCTGCTGCCCCACTGTGCCCCGGAGCCCCAGGACTATACCCACGTAGGATTCAGCCAGGGCAAGGCCCCTGAGGCCCGGGGTGGCAACCTCCCCAATGGCCCATGGGTCCCTCATGGCATTCACATCTCAGTGTCCTGTGGGGTAAGTAGGATCCTGCTGAGGTGACAGGCTCAGAGTGAGACCCTGTCTCAGAGAAAAAAAAAAAAAATCAGTTGACAGTGAAGGTGAAGGCTTATTTTTCTGGACTCTCAATTATATTCCATTAATCAATATGTCTACCCTTGTTCTATCATCAATCACACCGTTCTCTAGGTTACTGCAGCTTCGTCGTAAGGCTTTTGTTGTTGCTGTTTAGTTGGGTTTTGTTTTTTTTTGAGACAGAGTCTCTGTCACCCAGGCTGCAGTGCAGTGGTATTATCTTGGCTCACGGCAACCTCCACCTCCTGGGTCAGCCTCCTGGGCAGCGGGGAACTACAGGTGCCTGCCAGCACGCCCAGCTCGTTTTTGCATTTTCAGTGGAGAAGGGGTTTTGCCATGCTGGCCAGGCTCAGGAATTTTTTCTTTTCTTTTTTTTTCTTTTGTGACGGGGTCTCACGCTATCTCCCAGGCTGGAGCGCAGTGGCATGATCTCGGCTCACTGCAACCTTCGCCTCCCGGGTTCAAGCGATTCTCCTGCCCCAGCCTCCCAAGTAGCTGGGATGACAGGCACCCACCACCACGCCCAGCTCATTTTTGTATTTTTAGTAGAGACGGGGTTTCACTCTGCTGGCCAGGCTGGTCTTGAACTCCTGACCTCAAGTGATCCTCCCACCTCAGCCTCCCAAAGCGCTGGGATTCCAGGCGTGAGCCGCCACCGCGGCCCCGTGGCAGGCATTTCTTTATAACAATGCGAGAACAGATTCTCAGCCTGTGAGTTCAGGACGGGGCCTGTAGAAGGGAGGCAGTGGGGAGAGGAAGGTGGTGGCATCTGAGCTGTTGGGCTCCTTCTGACCTGGACAGAGCACTGGACTTTTCTGTTGTTCTATTTTTATTTTATTTCTGAGACGGAGTCTTGCTCTGTTGCCCAGGCCAGACTGCAGCAGTGTGTGATGGTGCAATTGTTTTTTTTTTTTTTTTTTTTTGGGACGGAGTTTCACTCTTGTTACCCAGGCTGGAGTGCAATGGCGTGATCTCGGCTCACCGCAACCTCCGCCTCCCGGGTTCAGGCAATTCTCCTTCCTCAGCCTCCTGAGTAGCTGGGATTACAGGCACGCGCCACCATGCCCAGCTGATTTTTGTATTTTTAGTAGAGACGGGGTTTCACCATGTTGACCAGGATGGTCTCGATCTCTTGACCTCGTGATCCACCCGCCTCGGCCTCCCAAAATGCTGGGACCACAGGCTTGAGCCACCACGCCCGGCCAATGGTGCAATTGTTAAGGATGATTCTTTTCTCCATTGAATTGTCTTGGCACCATGTTGAAAACCAGTTGACCGTAGGCCGGGCCCGGTGGCTTACGCCTGTAATCCCAGCACTTTGGGAGGCCAAGGTGGGCGGATTACCTGAGGTTGGGAGTTTGAGACCAGCCTGGCCGACATGGAGAAACCCCATCTTTACCAAAAATATAGAATTAGCTGGGTGTGGTGGCTCATGCCTGTAATTCCAGCTACTCTGGAGGCTGAGGCAGGAGAATCACTTGAGCCTGGGAGGCGGAAGTTGCGGTGAGCCGAGATCGCATCATTGCACTCCAGCCTGGGCACCAAGAGCAAAACTCAGAGAGAGAGAGAGAGAGAGAGAAGAAAGGAGGGAGAGAGGGAGGGAGGGAAGGAAGGAAAGAAAGAGAAAATAAAACAGGAAGCTCCATTAACAGGTCCCAGGAAGCTGGTTTGCTGGGGAAGGGGTGAGAGCGGCGCTGT